AAAGAAATTAAGTGTTTTAAAAACATTATTATTAGTAGTAGTTTTAATTATTATTATTATTATTTACAAATAGTTACATTCAAAATAACCTCTCCGGGAATTTTTGTGCTTGGTCAAAATTGATGTAATTTTACATTACGAACACTAGGTGGAACCCTCACTGTAGCGTACCTCTGAGATTGCGCTTCAAAGGCGATGGGAAAATGGATGGATAAAAAGAGTCATTGTCAGAGGTGGAAATTTCATGTCCAGAAAGTACAAATCCAGACCAAGATTTTGTTTCAACCAACCAGTTGAGTACTCTGTGAGTGTGACTCTTTATGCTCAACTGGTTGGTTGAAAGTACATCATGGCTTGGATTTTTATTTTCTTAGCCTGAAATTGCCACCTCTGGACATTGTTCATTCCTTAACATATTACATTGGATCGCTGAACATGATATTTTGATGTTTGTATATTTATGCTTTGGATAAATCGTTACCTAGCAGTTGAGTGAGCGTTGGGTTTTAGTAAGAGTAGTAAGAGCTCTGTCAGCCGCTGGGACTCCTACCACAACAGAACGTGGATGTAATCACCACCATCTACCACATGTACAAACGTGTCAACTTTTCTTTGAGAGTTTTTGTGCCGAAGTTTATCACAGTGAGGACTGGGGGTTACCACAGTAGTTAAGATCATGTTGGGTGTCTTTCAAAAACTGTAATAAGTTAACTGTATTTTTTTTTCAGCCGGCTTTTTTTTTTTGCCAAAAAATACAAACAAGTATATTCCAGTACAAACTTTAAGAATATCTTATGAGGTCAGCATAGCACACAATAAGTTAACTGTAATCACAATGTACGTGGTTCATGATGACGTCACAGGCAGCCAATGAGTTTCTCTTCATAGCTTTCGAGGATTTTAAGACTGTAGTTAAAATTGTCGCTCATTTTTTAAACAGAAGGGGTCGCTGTTCCTGCCTCACTACATGACATATTACCAGAACTATAATGTCTGTTTTTCAATTTCACAGTGTTCATCACAATACCTCATTAATTCTGGGACACCAATATATCCCATGAATCCAGCAATAATGTTTCTTTTTAAATACAAAGCAGCTGATTCATGAACACACAGGCGCACACGCACGAAGTTAGATTCTGCATGAGTCTTAAAAAAATGCAATCAGGTTTAACCAGGTTTTATATTCTGAGTTATAAATGGCTCTGTACAATTCAGGTGATAATCACTTGGGCCTTATTACATAAAACATAAAATTCATCCAGCCATCTACTATACAGTATATGTTGGTGAGGGATGTGAAGGCGGTACCCCTGGAAGGTCAGATCAGAGCTCCCTGTCCTGGATCAGAGACCGTATCTTGTTCTGGGGGATCATTAGATGTCCCCAAGCTGGCTGGGAGATATACCCCCCGCCCCTGCTTGTCCTGGGTCTGTCTCTGCCGAATGACACATGCTGACAAGGGTTGCCTGGTTTTCTCTGGATTCCTGAAAACCCTCAGGTTATTCCTCTTGACTGATTTAGAGGTTTTTTTCTGGATTTCCTCAGCTTGTGAGATTTTTAAGGGTGAGACTGTAAGCCCTGCAGTAAAACCTCATTTTGGTTGCTCTACTGACAAACTTTTTTTCAGTCAATAAAATGATAAACGTTAAAGTTCCAAATCAGTTGGAATTCATTTTGAAGTGCCATATTTGGATATTTATGGCATCTCTAGTTAACCTTAGCTGTTGCTTGTACTGTGGGTTTTAACAAGATGAGTCCGATAAGGGTTAACAGGAGGAGTGTCAACCGCAATAGGAAGTGATGTCATTATCATAATCTACCATCAGTATAAACGTGATGAAGCTCTGCTGGTGAGTTTTTCTTATGCAGTTTCTCAAGCTGTTCAAAGTTTAGTGCTAAATTTCACATTTGAGGTTGTCACCTTTTGAAGAGTATCAAATTATGGTTGCCCAATCCCGATCCAGGAGGGCCAGAATCCAACACAGTTTATAGACTTCCCTGCTCAGACACATCTTAGTCCGTCAATTCCCAGGTTTAACAAGTGTGTTAAAATCTGCAAATTGTGGGCCCTCCAGGATTGGAATTGGGCAACCCTGCTATACACCAAACAGACCTGATAAAAATGTTACACATCACTTATTGACGTAATTCCAACAATTTATGAATGTGTTAGGCTAAGTCTGTGAAGGCATTACAGTCACTTAATATTTGTATACTTATAAAGTTGAACTTTAAAAAAATACTTCACATTCCATAAACTCCTCTTACAATAAATTCACTGCACGCACATGATGATTGCGGCAAAGTTAGCAGAGAGATTGAATCAGCAATACATGAAGCTGTACCTCTGTAAAATAATTCACTTTTTCTAAAGAGGGAGAGTGCGATTACACGTTTGAATAAACTCAGCAGTGAAAGTTGCGGAGAAGCAGAAAGGAAAACAGGAGGCGAAAATGTAATGCGGCTCTTATCCTCTACAATCGACTCAAGGGTTTTTGTACGGATGATTCTCATCGTGCTACTTGGGGTACCACGGTGTGCCGTCTTTTTGATATTCTCATACTGAAACCCAGTGCTGGTGTGACGTCAGAGGAGGTTTGGAAGCACGGTTAAGGCACCTTTTATGTTCTGGAACATATCTGCGTTCCCGGCGTACTGATGCCGAACCGCTAAACGCGCCGCGGTTAGGCACGCAGCCAAAGCAAACTGCCACCAAACATCAGGCAAAAGAGGCCGCAGAAGCAGGGCCAGAGGCACTCTGAGTCAGGGGAGTTACTGAAACGACATGCTGTTATAAAAGCAGGTGAGGTCAATTAAGGCCAGCATGGTCCCAGCATCAAACCAACTGCGAAAACACCCACAGAACAAAGTGTGAAATACATTCACAAGTGGTTTGTCACAGGAAATGACACGCAGGAAGTGCGACGTAAGGTAGCACTGTCACCTCACCCCGTCAGGGTTTGTGGGCTAGAATCCTGCCCCTCACTCTTTATATAATCATTTTCCATAACTTAGGTTTATTTAATTGTAAAATATTAATAAAAACAAAACTAGTTGCACACCTCTGAGGATCATAAACGTTCATAAACATGACCTGCTCACTAATCTTTACCCACTTCACCCCCCCCCCCCCCCCCTCCCACTTGAGAACCCAGGTCAGAACCCTCCAGAAGGAGGGGAACAAGGTATGTGGTCAGCTCGGTAAACACCTTCCCCCATCTTCCCCATGTCTGAGATACAGCTCCCATTTCTCTCAACATCAAGGGAAACCTCATGTGTACCATCCATTGGCACAACGGACAGTTTAACATCATGTCCCGTGTTTCATGATTCTAAATGGATGAATTGTTATTGGATTCCTATGCAGGCCAGGCAGGGTCTATAAAGACAGAACCTCATGCATCAGTGTCTAGGGATCCACCAGAAGGGGCTTGAGTCTCTGGCCATGGAAAGCGACCTGTGGAACACGCTGTTGCCATGATCTTCACCAGGAGAAGTACCACGTTTAAATTCACTTAGCTTTTCAGAACGACCCAAATTTACAGAAGAGGAAAATCCAAAAGCTTCTCAAAAATTAAATGATCAGGTCTCAGTGACACTGTGACTAGGTTTTCAAAGCTATATGTCTGCCTTACACTGTAAAAAAGAAAAAGTTAAGACAACTTAAAATTTCAAGGCAACTTACTGCACTAGATTTTTAAATTTTGAGGGCAACCCAAACTTCTACGTCTTTAAGAAAACCACCTATCGTTATGCTGAGTAATCATTTTTCATTCAGATAAATAAACAGAGCCCAAAGATGTGCTGGGCTGTGTTGGGCTGTGCTGGGCTGTGCTGGGCATGAACAGGGAATCTTTGGGTCAGAGGCACAGAGGGTTAACCCACTGAACTACATGCTGCCCCCTCTGGACTATGACGCTACCAAAACTCTGTAAACAGTGTTAGCACCTTATTCAGCTTATGTTCCATACACCTGAGCATGTGGCTCTGTGAGCTAAGCCTTTCTACTCATGCACTAAAGGTCACTAGTTCAAGCCCAGTATCAGCACATGAGGGGGCCCTGTGACCCCCCCCCCCCTTCCAAGGCACCACATAACAATTTTGTTGTCTTCATTTATAATATTTAGTTGCTACATATTTTGCGATTGTGAATTCTTAGCATGTTTAACTCAAATTTGAAAGAGAACAAAAGAGAAAAGTTGGCACAACTTTTGTAGTCAGCAATTCTTAGTATTTATTATTTCTTTATTAATAAAAACATAATTTGGTTGAACGGCTAAACATTTGACGTTTTTATGGATATGAAAGATAGATTACCTGAATAAAACATAATTAGTTGTCACAACAATAGATGGTTTTCTTCAAAAATTTCTTCAAAAGTTTGAGTTGCCCTCAAAATCTTAGGCTGTCTTAACTTTATCTTTTTTTACAGTGTATTCAGAATCATACTGAGTATTATACCGTGTTTAAATAACTTAGCTGGATTTGGGCAGCGCGTTAAAGCGTCGCTTCTTACATGCGGCAGTTTTTGTTCGGCGTTTTTTCACTGTGGGACTGGAGTACCACAGTGATGCTTTTTGCCTGCAGCCTCGCTCAAAAACCTACCACGGCGATTTCGTTTTTAAAAAACGAATATCTGTAAAATGCCCCGTCCATATCTCCATATGAACCCATTCTAGGTAAGTTCACATTTGTTCATTTTTTTATATTACTCATAATTGCGTCGGGCTGCTTCAATACTTCTGCGTCGTTCTCAGCAACTACAAGTTCTTTGAAATTCACTCAAGTTTGTAGTCATTTCAACTTCTGAGGTCCACGCAAGATATTTTTCCTTTTTCAGGACTAATACGTTGACCTGCAATTTCCAGAGAAAAACTAAATATACATAGAGCAACGTGGACTGGCCGTTTTTTGTCTGAGGTCACACAAAGTGCGTCAGACAAGCTAACCTTCGCCAAAGGTACCACTCTCACCGTATATGCCAGTAAGTACCAAACTTTTATTATCCTGATCGCCGCTTCTCGAAACACTTTCACTGCTTTCTGCTTACACTGAGCTCGTAAAGATGGATGGCTGATCCGGACAGCTATGGGACAGGGGTATAGGGAGGCGATACTGGTGGCTGCCTCTTGCTGGAATCCCATGTAATGGTGATGGTATGTACCCCAAACCTCGGGGCATGTTCCTTTCCTTCAGTTTGGGCTTTTGCACCTTCTCTTCACCCGTGAGGGTGCTTCGGGGTCGGGTTGCCGTTTTTGTCAGTCGCTGTAGAAACGTGGATACAACCCTTGCTTTTCGCCACTGGGACCCGGCTGTACGTGGATGCCAGTAAGTAGGCTATCTCGCCGCTATTTGATGTTTTCAGCCCCAGGGAATTTTAGATCTCTGAGTTTTAGTTAATTAGCCCGTTTCTGAGAGCATTGACAGCATTTGTTTGGCATGTAACTGGGCAAGCATGTGAGGCAGATCCAGCGCGAAAATGAACCTAAATCTGCACACAAAAATGAGTAAAGGGGCATTTATTTAAAAAGGGTGTTTCTCAGTTATTCGCAATGAGCTGAACTTGGGTAGCTGCATATTAGAAAACGCGACGTGCCGCCGCACAAATTTCGGTCGTGGAGTCAAATTAGAAATGTTAGTTTTCCAAAGTGTTCCTATATACAGCGAGTGTGAAACAAGGGGGTTCGAGCTTTAAACATCGAAAATGCAGCAAGTTGAATGAGGCAGAAAGAGGTTTATTGTCCCAGCTGTTTTATTTTATCCTGCTTATTTACAAACCAAATAATAACGGCATGGCTTGTTGTAGCCTAATATAATATTGCGTCTCCGTTGTTTTATTGTTGGTTGCTGCTTCATATGCATCACTGAATGATCGCATGGTCACACTTTACTCGAGGAAGCACAAATAATGTAGTACTAACTTCAAGCATTAATATTTTCAGTAACTGTTAGTTACGTACTGATGTTTGTTCTGTCTATGTAGGCTATCTATAGATACTCCATACCGCTAATCTACTACATGGTTGCAGCTTCATTCTGATATAATTACATAAAATGTATTATAAAACTATAAATATAACACTTTAAAACCTCTTACTTAAAATGTACTCTTTATAGTGTAGCAAGAATGCGTTTTGTCTTCTTAAAAAAGTAAAATAGGCGAGTAACGTATGTAACGTTCGGCAGCACCTGCGTCTTTAAGGCTGTTATCGGAGCCCAGGTGCAAAGCGCCGCTTTTTAGCCAAAGTTTCAAGTTGTTTCGATTCAGTTATTTCAGTATTTATCCAGCGCTGCTTTTTTGGTAATTTGTGGAGTATTTTTTTTTCTTTATTGTGCTTTTTAACCATCCATACGATTTAATCGTGCAGACAGATACGTTTTCAGGATAACACTAACTGTTTTAGGGTACATGGAATTTGTTTGTTTGAAAACGGGTTCTGCACACACATCCTTCTGAGACCTGTCCTTCCTGTGTCCTTCAATGATAGGTTATTTGTCTTTGGAGGAAATAAGACATCTTACAATTTAGATTTTTTTCAAATTTATTTTTATTTTTAATTTCACAGCATGTCCTCTTTAGTGTACAACAGGAATAAATACGTACATTTCCTTACTTCAGTGAAAAGACAGATGCAAAAATAAAATGTCCACTACAATGGACATAAATGAATGGGTGGGGTCTCAGGAGGTTACAAAACGAATATATATTTTTTTAAGTAAGGTGTTTTTAAGAGAAAGGGAACTAGTTTCTTCTTTTTTTAATATTACAGTTTATTTAAAATTAATGTGGACATGAAGTACAGTATGTGAATACAAGTATTGGGACACACCTATTAATCTTTGAGTTTGGGTGTTTTATTAAGACCAATAGCCACAGGTGTATAAAATCAAGCATCCAGCCATGCAGTCAGGTTTACAAACATTTATGGAAGATTGGGTCGTTCTGAAAAGCTAAGTGAATTTAAACATGGTACCGTCATAGGATGCCACTTTTGCAATAAGTTTTTAATAAGTGAAATTCCTTCCTTGCTAGATATTCCACGGTCAATTGTAACTGGTATTATTGCAAAGTGGAAGCGTTTAGGAACAACAGAAACTCAGCCATGAAGAGGCAGACCATGTAGAGTGACAGAGGGGGGTCTCCGAGTGCTGAGGCTCATGGTGTGTAAAAGTCACCAACGCTCTGTTTACTCAGTAACTACAGCATTACAAACTTCCTCTGGCAATAACCTGAGCATGAAAACTGTGAGCTGGGAGCTTCATGGAATGGGCTTCCATGGCCAATCAGCTGCATGCAAGCCTCATGTCACCAAGCAGAATGCCACGTGTTGGAGTGGAGTACAGCACACCGCCACTGGGCTCTGGAGCAGTGGAAACGTGTTCTCTGGAGTAATGCATCATGCTTCTCTGTCTGGCAGTCTGATCGACGAGTCTGGGTTTGGCAAACGCCAGGAGAATGTTACCTGACTGACTGCATTGCAGCGGTGGAAATTTCAGGTCTAGAAATTAAAAATCCAGTCCAAGATTTTTCTTCAACCAACCAGCTGAGTACTCTGTGACTGTGACTCTTTATACTCAACTAGTTGGTTGAAGAAAAAACTTGGACTGGATTTTTACTTTGTGGACCTGAGATTTCCACCTCTGCAGCATTGTGCCAACAGTAGAGTTTGGTGGAGGAGGGATAGTGGTATGGGGTTGTTCTTCAGGGGTTTGGCTAGACCCCATAGTTCCAGTGAAGGGAACTCTTAGTGCTTTAGCATATCATGACATTTTGGGCAATTCTATTCTTCCATCTTCGTGGAAACAGTTTGGGGAAGGACCTTTTCTGTTCCAGCACGGCTGTGCCCCAGTGCACAAAGCAAGGTCCATAAAGACATGGTTGGGTGAGTTTGGCGTGGAAGCTGACCAACACAGAGCCCTGTCCTCAACCCCGCCAAACACCTTTGGGATGAACTATATCAGAGATTGCGAGCCAGGCCTTCATGTCCAACATCAGTGCCTGAGCTCATAAATGCTCTTCTGGATGAATGGGCAGAAATTACCACAGACTATCCAGAATCTTGTGTAAATCCTTCCCAGAAGAGTGGCAGCTGTTATAGCTGCAAAGGGGGGAGCAACTCCGTGATTTAGAATGGGATGACATAAAAGTTCCTGCGGGTGTAATGACCACATGTCCCAATACACGTGTCTATATAATGTATATATATACTACATATATATTATTAGCAGTATTCATTTTAATTTATCAATGTTTGTTTTTTCCCTCTTTTCCAGAGGAACCAAAAATTTCGGTCCTGTCGTTACTTCTCCCATCAGTTTCTACTGATGGGAGAAGTAATGATGAATTCGATGTCTGTGTGGCAACCGGGGGAATTCAGAGGGACCAAGAGATGACTGTGCGCACGACTGGAAATGAGACCAAGGTTAAGACAAGCGAAGGAGCGATGTACAGCTTGGGAAATGCCAACTACTTCGCAGCATTTGGCAGGAATATTACGACATGTGAACTGGGAGCTCAGCAAGAACACAGAGAAAAGTCAGAGGATTCTGCCGGTACGTTCTCCAGTTTAATGTTTAGTATCCAGTCTCATTGTATTTGTGGTACGAGGTCTAAATATTCAAAGATCATCATGTAATGGAACATAAACCTTATAGCTATATTTAACAGTGTTATATATTGTAGCCAATGTGTGAAAATGTGTATTGTAACAAGTACAGAGATCACTGTAAAATGGTAACGTGGAATAGTTAACCTGACAAAGGAACTTGATCGGATCCAGGTCACCAGTCTCTACAAAGGACAAACTTTAGGAAGAAATCTTTTTTATTCTTTTTTTGGTAACACTTTCTATGAATGCCATGTCTATAAAAATGCATAAACACATTCATAACATTACATAACACATAACATTATAATGCATTCATAACGCATTATAAACCATGGATGTCAATATGTATAAAAAGGCATAACACATTATAGCCTGTTTATTATGCATTATGGATGCTTTATGAAGCTCTCATCTACAATGCACCACAGCTACCGGTACTAAGCATCCTTAAATGACTGTCAATAAAAGATGCTGTAAAGCTTTATTAGTTCTTATGCTGTTCATTATAATGTATTTTGAAGGTATGTATAATGCAACATAGTTCACTAGTTATCCTGTGTCCAGGAAAACATGCCCCCCGCCCCCCCCCCCCCTAACACACACCCCCCTACACACACACACAGGTTATAGGGTTTCTCAAGTATGCGTTCTGCAATGATGACAAAAATCGCCAATCTTTATTAATAAAAACATAATTTGGTTGAACGGCTAAACTATATAATTTCTTTTGAACATGACTCAAAAAAGGTTTTAATTCACTACTGCTCCTTTTTACCCCCAGTTTATGATATCGCTCTCAAAACTGAAGGTGAATGTTTATGACCAAAAAATATTGCTTTAAAAAGGAATTAAATGAATTTAGTAACAGTGTTTCCTCACTTTTCCCCTCCAGCAGAGACACTAACTGAATGGTTTGATTTTAGCTGTGAATTCAGGGATTCTGTGTAACATCACGACTGAAGCCGTAACACGTCACAATTAAAGCATATCGATTTAAACGGTAAAGCCCTGCCGTTAGCAATGTATTTTTTTCTAGACTTCTCAAATAAATTGCGCGCCCCCCTTGGTTGCGAGGTGCGCTAGTTTCTCAATCTCCCGGGGATTTGGGAGAGACAAACGCATGGACCGTCTGGGGGTTAGAGAAGCACTGCCCAAGTGGGACGGAGCCCCCTGTTAGACAACCACTGTTATACAAGACAGCTTCAAGTAAAGCATTACCTCGTCATGTTTGTTTGTTTTTTGCTTGCAGAGAGCAGCACACAAGACTCGAGCAAACCCAGTCCACCTCCATGCACTGAAGTTGACGAATCTAATACTCATACAACTCATACAAATGGTAAGGGGAAACTCTTTTCCCAGGATTATCTCATGTGTGTGGGTTCAGTTTGAATAGAACATGGACAGGGATGGTGATTATATTTCACTTAATTAAACTGTAATATGCCGGGTTTTTCTATACACCACCTCATGCGAAAAAGAGTCACAATAAAACACCGTTGGCCTCGATATTTGGAAATAAGCTACAATGTGTCATATAAATAGCTTTCTAGACAAATGCCCAATTTTCTGTACTGACGCACTTTTATACTGAATGAACACACATTTCTCAACTACACATAAGCAGACAATTGGGATGTCAGTTTATATTCTCGAGTGATATATCTAAATACTATATAAATAAAGAGAGAAAATAAATACTTAGATATAGGCAAAAGGCTGTAAAATGTCTAAATAAAGGACGATGCTCACAGTTTACGACAGGCCTCCTGTTAATAATGACGCCATTTGCCTTGCAGACGGCCCCAAGGTGAATTTTCGGACGCTGACGATAAACAGCATTAGGGTCCTGCTTGCCAAAGCAGTGGCCTTTGACATCCTGGTGACAGTGAAGGCCATGTTCTTTTAGAGGTAGGCGACGTTTTCCTCACAGGCCATGTCACTTTATGGAGACTTTACCAAAGTTTTTAACCAAATACTTTTCTATCCCTCTTTTCCAGAGGCGTCCATGCTGTGCTTAATCCACCAGGATCTTCTATCGATATGTTAGCTTTTCCCCACTTAGATGCTTTTCTGTGTACATTTAATTGATTTTCATAGAAAGTGTTTAATTGTTCAGCATAGATTGTGTTGCATATGTATAGTATAAACTGGATTAAACTGGATTAAACTGGATTAAGGAAATAATTATTTTACTGAGTTAATAAGGGAGCTTTTTTGTGTATTTTCATATTATTAGCTTATAATTAAAGACAATACGTGTTATTTAATGTATATTTGTGTTGCAGAACTGTTATTATTCTGTAATTAGTTATATAAAAGTGTTTTTAGTTGACTGCTTTCTCTAAAAAATAGCAACAAAGAGAAAAGTGCCATAGGCCTAAAGCATAGTTGTGAAAAGGGAGTCATATCTGGTGTGATGTATGAAATAAAATTAGTTTCAAAAACCCGTCTGATGTCCTGTTTGTAATTAAAAAGACGTTTTGAATAAACCTGTGTACCTGAGGCACGGAAGGAGAAGATGAGATTTGCATGACCTGCAGCTCTGAGCCGCGTTTCTCACAGCCGTACGCCGGAAGTCGCTGGAAGTCGCCGGAAGTCGCCGGAAGTCGCCGTCCGCCCAGTCGAAGCAGTTGGAAACCGCAAGCCGCTTCCTTTCCAGCAGATGTGCTGCTCTGCGCTCAGGCGTACGTGCAACACTCAAATGAGCGTGCAGATGCACGATTTACGCACGCCCTGAAACGCAGAGGTGGCTTCCAAGCTGAGAAGCACTGCGGGGGCTGTTCTGCATGCACCCGTGTCTAGAAATCTAGAAATTTGGGGGAGGGGGGCAGGACATTCCGAGGTAGGATTTGCTGAGAGTATAAATTCATTTTTCATATTCAGGGATTTGTATTCATGCCCACCTCTGACACCCTTTGGGGGTTGGGCTACCACCTAAACCCTCCTGAAGACGGATTTCAGCAATCATGCAAGTTCACTGCAAGCCACACTGCGACAAACTGTAAACTTTGGTATAACAATAGTTCAGTTCTTCTTGGGTTTGACATCAATGAAGACTGTACAATGATACCTACTGAATTGCAGGCAAGTCAGTTTACAAGAATAAAACGTCATAAGCGTGGGTTGGTTAGTAGACGTAGGTCGCAGCAGCAGTTGCATTGTGAGATGGTCATAGTGCCAACGTTTATCATACTGCAATGTAGGACCACGGTTTTGGAGCCATGACCAAAGATAACGCCACGATTCTTTCACATTGATAATCTTTCGTCTGGGATGGCCAAAAATCGCACAGTCCATACCCGCCTTAATTTATGTCAGGATGGACACTTTAAATGAGGACAGGATTTGCAAACTAATATTTCAATCAAAAGGACCTGGATTTCACTTTAGCACTGATTGGTGCTGATTGGTCAGTCTCCTATAATCATGCATCTGCCTCTGATGTTAATGCGAAACAGCTGGATGAGTCTTTCAATGAGAGAAACAGATCAGTCAAATCACGAGAAGAACCATGAAGAACTATGTAGACAAACACAGGAGCCTTTCAGTTTTAAAAAAGTTTGTAAATTGGCTGTAAAACCTGAAATGGCTCAAATCCTGACATGGATTTGGTGGAAACCCAGTAACCCTACTTGGGGCTGCATAGGGAGCTGTGTGAGGTAGTGGGTGATGTGTTTGTTTTTATGTTTATCTGCTAAATAAGTTTGTATTGGAAGAAACAGTCAAATAAATAAACCAACAAGCAAATATATAGAATATATATATGTACATCTGGAATCTGTGCAGCAGATGGTCATAGGTCATAGTAAGGCCACCTCCTCCAAAGGACAAGATCTCCTATATGCAGGACAGTTTGGAGAAGACCCAGCATTAGACCTCACTACCAGTAAAGCTCTGAGTGCAAGGGTGCAGATGCAGTAGTTACACATACACCAAAACCCTTATAATAACCCAGCAAAGACCTCATTTTAAATCCAGGCCCCTGTTATCAAAATGAAAATATTTGCACTTCAGCGCAAAAGCATCAGAACCTAAATACAGTGATTATTTCCTGAGTGTAGAAAGTACTGTTCTGATGCCCTCTGGTGGAAAAAACTGGCAATTACATCGAGCGGAGTTCGCTGACATCGTCGGTGTTAAAAGGTAAGAGGCGGCTTCCGATGATTCTCAGGTCAGTGATCATAGTACAAACACGCACGCGTCGCTAGTTCAGCAAAAACCGAACCCCCAGGTCGATTCTCTCACCGACAGCTTTAGGGGGGATTTAACTAAGGGCGGAAATTTTCCCAGAACTGCCACTGCTTATACGCAAGCTTCAGGTCCTGTGTATAAACGCAACGCTGTCTGCCACCCGCTACCTGCCCACAGCTTGACGTACAAAACTCAGGCCAGACCATTACACTGGGGAATTAGCTTGACTGTCAAAGACACACAGGGGCGCAGAAGAGTCCCAGGCTGATTCGGGGGGGCCCAGCACCTTGCGAAAGCCCTTGAATACGTGTTGAATACATGTACAATTGGGCGGGGCCCCAACATTTCTAGCTCCGCCCCTGGGTGTGGATATCATTTTAATAATATTAAAAAAAAATCCCCCAGGTTTATCCTGGCTGTCACTGATGCAGAACCCCAGCAGACATGTGGAAATTTACCCCAATATTGTATTAATTGGTTATTGGTTAAGACCACAATAATAATATAATAAAAAATGATAATTATTATTGATCCCTGTGGTGAATCTCTCTTTTTGCTGATCTTGCTCTCTGACACACAGACACACATATAGGTGTGGCAGCGAAGGGCAGCCACCTACAGCCACGCCCCTAGAGCTGGGGGTTAAGGGCCCGGCTCCATAGAGCTGGGGGTTAGGGGCCCGGCTCCATAGAGCTGGGGGTTAGGGGCCCGGCTCCATAGAGCTGGGGGTTAGGGGCCCGGCTCCATAGAGCTCGGGGTTAGGGGCCCGGCTCAAGGGCCCACAAACGTGACAGTTTAGCTGAGACCAGAGACTGAGCCACACGCTGCTTCTGGGTGGCATGGTGGTCAAGGAACTGGACCTGAAACACTAACCAGTAATTTTGAGGAGTAAAGTCTTCCTGTTTTCAGCAATTGTGCCAAAATTGTGAAACAGGTGCACTTTTTGTATGAATATAGGCTTGTAGGTCAAATTAAGCAACACCTGGGTTTTAAATATGAGGCTCTAACGGGTACATTAGAGTGACACAGGCACACTGATGCTGAGCCGTCCCCCAGAATGAGATGGGAATTATCTCCAGAGAGCTCCATATGCTTCGTGCAGATGGTGGGAGATGAATCCTAAAGCGTGTTTGAACCTACACTGGCTACCCAAATATGTTTGGGTGAGTTTGATGCATTTGGGAATTTATATTTCTGTTAGTTGTATGTTTATGTTTTTTACAAGCCTTCAGTTAATAACGTCGGAAATATGCACAATACTGGACCTTGCATACAAACCATTGGCAAAGTATTTATTTTATACCCTATACGCTATCATTACACTGATAACAGGGGTTATACTGTCAGTACCAAAATCTAGCCATGCTGTGTTCTGTAGTATGGATGGCAGGTATTTGTCATGCTGTGTTCTGTAGTATGGATGGGAGGTATTTGTTATGGTGTGTATCTGTGTGTGAATAATCAAGCAGCGAACAAGATCATATTCGGAAGTGGAACTAAAGTACTCGTAGAATCACGTAAGTACATGTGTCATTTTTTACTGCTGTTCTAATCAATATCTCATCAATCGAGGCTTTTGAAAGATTTTATCTGGATCAGTTATACAAAAGCGACATCTAAACTTGACCCATTTGATTCACAAAGCCTCAGTATCCTCTGGTCAAAAGCTACAAGTAGATTTTATTGAGTATCACTGATATCACAGTACCAGTATGGGTTTTGTCACTGAGGAGTGATGGGTATTTTGTGTGGAGACGAATACTATGTGAGTAACGCTGGTAACTGGCTGAGCTTTGGAGCTGGGAATCGGGTTTGAGTGGAGTCGGCTATCTGGACAAGAAAGGGTCTGTCATGAAACCGGACGCCCATTTCACTGGGCTGATTAGGCAGATTATCACTGGGGGGTTTAGGTTCATCCTCTGTTTAGGGTCGGGGGTGAGTGACTGCGCTACTATAATTTTATACAGCTGGCCATTAGGGCATATTTCATTATCATTTGAAAGATATATTTAACAAGGCCCTTTTCATTAGGCCTACAGCTTATTGACTTTTAAAAAAGACAGATATTCCGGAAAAGATAATACAACTATATACTTACTATAAGAGACGGACAAAATCAATGACTTTGCACTGAGTATTTGACATTAAATAGTGCTGAGGTGATTACATGTGTACATAGATTATTTGTGGACATGGGAATTGCTAATTAAGTGTGAACTTTGGTGCTTAACAGCCTTAATCTGATATGTGACATACTTGAAGCACAGTAATACTAATACAAATGATAATTGTTTATGATTTAGACTGAAGGGTAAGGTGAGTGTAATGTACAAAGTATATTGTACTGTAGTGTAACACTGTGTGATTAGTGGCTCTAACAAGATAACGTTTGGTGAAGGGACACAACTTATCGTACAGACAAGTAAGTGGTAACCTGTGTTATTTATGCAGTTAAATTTAATTCATTTTCATACTGGTCATGGATCATATTAGCTGGATATTTATGGTGAGTGTTTATTGTACTGTGACGTAGCACGGTGTGAATGACGGCTATAACAAGGTAATATTTGGTGAAGGAACACGACTTATTGTACAAACAAGTAAGTACTAAATTGCATTAACTATAGAAATTTTCCACATTTATAAAAATGTACAAGTGTTTAGTCAGTGTGCTCTATCAGTGAGGGGTTTACATGATGCATGGTTTACCATATTAAGTATGACAAATTTTTATTTAGTTATTGACTGAAATTTAATTCGTTATTTAATTAATCACGTTATTTAGTTAGAACGACACATCTGGCAGCAGCGTCATTATTCCCAGGTTATTCACACATTTATTGATAAAGTTGAAACCGACTTTCACTGGACTGTATTTGACATGGACATTAACACTGTGTGACACGATCCAGCTCAGACCCGATGGTTTTCGGTAATGGGACCAGACTAACCATTCAATCCAGTAAGTTTAACAATGTCATTTAGTAAGACTTTTTGTAATAACATTTAAAGTAGCACGAAAAAATATATATTTAGATATAGGCTACGCAGGCTGTCAGAAATATGAACAAGCTGGATCGGTATATATAGGTTACATATGGTATATTCTGGATAATTCAACAATATATGTTGGACTGTAGAATGTAAATCAGTATGTATTTAGTGCGAAGAGAGAACTGTCCGTAGGCATACAGTATATACTGTACCTCACTGTTATAAAACACTGATTGCGGCTGGTATTCGTGGGGAACGTTT